GGGAGTTCAACTCCCCACATGTCCCCCTTTGACACAGCCCCAGCAGGGGGAGGGAGAGGTGTTACTGCTGGATGGGGATGAAAGTCCCAGCTCCACACCTGACCTCCCTGGCAGGGATGCTGGGGTGCCTCTTAGCTGGCAAGGTGGAAGTCTAGCCTTTGCTGGCATGGTGGGGGTGGGGCTGCATCTTTTCTATGGTGTCTGAGTGGAGTAAGGTGGTTATTGTCTAAGAGCTCTCTCTCTCTTGCCAGGCTGTCCCTCTCCTGGCTCTTTGGCTAGAGAGAGCAGGCTTTTATTTGGGGGTACTTTTGTTTGTGTCCACTGGCACTTCCAGGTTGCCTGCTCCTCCAGCCTCCAGTCTGGGACAGTGAGGCAAAAAGAAAACCCAGAGTATGTACCTACTTCCCTGTCATTTCTTGGGTCCCGAGGTCCCCAGCCCATCTGCCTTTGTCTTTCTAGCTTTCAGAGTCTTCTTAGGTTTGTCTTCTATACAATGTCCAGGGTTTTATTTGTACTTAGGAAGAATAGGGAAAATTCCATATTCCAGGAAGCAGAAGTTTCAGGGAACCATTTTTAGAGGGGTTTTGGGTTGAGGATTCCACTCAGACCTAACTAGCCACCTCTGCTTCATTGGGTGTGTGAGGGAAGGCTGAAATGAACTGGAAGGGAAGCAGGTCAGGGGATGCTTTCATGTGGGAGCTTTTCCATGGGGCTTAGCCCAGTGTGCTTTCTCCAGGGTGGCCTGCCTCAAGCAGAACTCAGTCCCATCCTTTGGGTCCTCATAGCTCAGCTTGGATCCTTAGTATTGAGAACAGGTTCCTGCTTCTTTTATATCCCCCACCCCCTGGAAAACAACAACAACAAAAGAAACCCAGCCAGAAAACAAAACTAGCATGCCACTAAGAGTTTCTAGAGTGCACTCCCCTGTGCCAGCTTTCTTGGGTTGTCTGTTTCAAAGTCTGCCTTTCAGGTTGTTATAGGTTCTCAAGAAGAGGCCTCCTGGGGTGAGGCCTCAACAGAAGGTGAGGATTGAGAGGGAGGACTGCTGCCTTACAAAACTGCTTGTGAGCCTCTAGTCCTGTGGGGACAGCAGCTCTGCTGGGCACTTCTGGACTTACCAACATGGCTGGGTCTGCTGCTGACATTTTTAGACAGTCTGAGAAATAGCGGGAGAGGCTGCAGCACTTCCTGGGCGGGTCGCCAGGTGAGTTTCCTCACAAGGAAGCTCTGAGAGTGGAGTATCCTGGTGCCTGCTTTTTGGGCTTGTGGGCGGGGTTACAGAGTATGGTGTTCTCAGTAAGAGGCGCTGAAGAGCCTGAAGGAGGGAAGCAGCATGAGCTGCTTTGCACTGTTAGAAGCGGCCCCGCGAATGCAGCCATTCCTGCGTTTGTTTGAGCTCTGCACTTTTGCTTTAGCTGCGCCTGTGCCCAGATTCCTCTCCACCCCAGGCCACCCTCCTGTGTCTGTGTGTGTGTATGGGGTCCTCACCTCTACCCTGGCCCTTTCTGCTCTCCCATTTGCTCACGTGGATGGCAGTGCTGTCTCCCAGCGACCCTGGAGTTGCACAGTGGACCCCTTGAGGTTCTTGTCATCTGGCTGTAAGCACCAAGTCACCCCTTTCTTGCTCTGCCCCCTACTGTCAGGCCTGTGCCCACTGCCTCTTGCTTCCCCTCTGGCCTCTGTGTCTGGCACATCTCACCTCTTTTCCTACAAGCCAGTGGACTGGGGTATTGCCCTGTGAAACCTTTGTCTCTGTCTCTTTGAATGAAATTTTCAGAATCTCACTGGGGGAGCATTCACTTGAAAATTTACATGGTGGCCCTGCCCCCATCCCGACCCCGACCCAGCTATGGCTTCCTTAGGTAAGGATTCATTAGATTACATTTCTTTCAGGCTGTGAATCCATGAAGATAGGAGCAATTTCTTATTGATCTCTGCTTCCCCATTGTCTGACACACGGCTTGGTAAATGATTTTTTTTAACAGCTTTATTGAGACAACAGTCATATACCGTATAGTTGACTCACTTAAAGTGTATAATTTGATGATTTTCAGTATATTTCCAGAGGTGTGCAACTATCACCACAATCAATTTTAGAACATTTTCATTATCCCAGAAAGAAACCCTGTACCCCTTAGCTGTCACCCCCCAATCCTTCCATTCTCTGGCCCTAGGCAACCACTAATGCCTTCTGTTACTGTGGATTTGCCTTGGTGAATGCTCTTGATGGAATGTTACTTGCTTCCCAGCCTGATCCTCCTCCCAGAGCACTTGTTTCTTGCCCTGTGCCCTCCGTTGGCCAGGCCATCCCACCTTTCAGGACAACCTGTATGCCTGAAAGGGTCCCCTTTGGGGTGATCTGTAGAAGGAAGGCATGGCCAAGCAAGTGGGTTCTGATAGGCTCCCTGGTGTATAGCACATGGGGCCGTGCACACAGTAGGTCTGAATACATGTTTGTTGAGTGAATAATGACACCGATGGGCTGGGGTGAGATCTTGTGCCAGTCCCTCAGTTCTCCCACTGCCCCTTTTGAGGAAAGGTCAGGTGGATAGAGCTGATCATGTGAAGTTGCCCCAAAGCCCTGCAGCCAGAGACTAGGAGACTGGTGTTCAGTCAAAGCTAGACAGAAATGGAGGAGATGTGACGTGATCTAACCCGATTCTATAGGCTGGCTGAGAGGCGAAGTGGGGATTCACCTGGCTCAGGATACCTGCTCCAACGCTGACCTCTCCATCCTGTGTGTGGGCTTCACGGAGTCTGCCAAGTGTACACATCCCTGAGTGGTGCGGGAGAGAGGCCAAGTGTGCTTGCTGCCTGGGGAATGTCTGGGGGCCGCTGGTGTTTGCTGAGAAAAAAGACCTCAACTCTCTTTGCTTCTGCTTTCCCAAGCAGAATTTCATTCCATGTACCCAGGTCATGGCCCTCTTGGATTGTGTCACTCTAACCCCTGGTTCCCTGCCAGCATGCACTCCAGCACGCATGTTTCATCAAAGCCAGCCTCTCCCTTCCTTTCTTCAGCCTACTCCAGACCCCGTGCCCAACCTGCTCTTCTCTATTCACGTTCACAGGGAAAAGCCAGTGCTGCTTCTGGGGGCCTTACGGACCCTGCAGAAGCCAAGAAAAGAGTGTCCTTGGCTCACTGGGATGCTGTGTGACCTCTGGCAAATGACCATCCCTCTCTGAGTCACAGATTCCATAGCTATAAAATGAGGTGGTTTGATAGGGCCTCCCACTTTGGAGAGTGTTAAATAAAAAGCATGTTAGGAGGATCCCTAAGACTTATTCAGAGAACAGTCCTTGTGTTTAAACAGCAGGCAGAGTGTTGGGTTTTAATTTGTGTTACTGCCCTCCAAAGGGTGGTAGGCAGAGTGGCCTGGTTGTGGCTTTTCCAACCCCTTCTCACCAGCTGGGTGTGGCTGAAAGGGAGACAGGGCCAGAGTGTCTGTCTCATCTCTTAGCTCATGTTGAGCTCCTGTTGCCTAGGTCTCAGCTGAGGGGGACTCTTAAAATATAAAAATGTGCATGTAATAATAGCTAACACTTATTAAGCATTTAGAGGCCAAACACTGTGCTCAGTGTTTTTTTCTCATATAATTTTTTGTGATATTATTCACATACCATAAAATTTACCCTTTTGAAGTGTACAGTTCAGTAGTTTTTAGCATATTCACAAGGTCATGCAATCATCTCCACCATCTGTTGGGTTGTCGGAAAAGTCATGACTCAGTTTTGCAATGAAAAACAGAGAAAAAATATGTCATGACTTTTCCGACAACCCAGTAATTTCAGGTTTTCATCGTCCTATAAAGAAACCCCGTCTGTACCTGTTAGAAATTACTCCCCTTCTCACTTCCTCCATGTCCTGGCCACCACTAATCTAGATGATTTCTGTTTCTATGGACTTAACCTATTATGCACATTTCACGGAAGTGGAGTCATACAGTGTTTGTTCTTATGTGTCTGTCTTCTCTCAGCATAATGTCTTCAGGGTTCTGGGCGAGGGGGGTTATCGCTTTGTGAGTGCTGTAAACGTCTAACTATCATGTTGCTTTGTACACCTGAAACTAATAAAAAAAATAATATCTTCCAGGTTCATGCATGCTGCAGCGTGTGTCAGTACTTCGTGCCTCTTTATTGCTGTGTAATAATCCATGGTGTGGCTACTCCACGCTTTGTTTACCTACCGTCAGCTGATGGGCATTGGGGTTGGTTCTACTTTTTGGTGATTGTGAATAGTGGTGCTGTGAACATTCATGTCCAGGTTTTTATTGGAGCGCCTGTTTTCAGTTTTCTTGGGTGTATAAACCTCGGAGTGAATTTTGGGGTTGTATGGAACTCTCTGTTGAGTCTTTTGAGGAACTGCCAGACTGGTTTCCACAGTAGCTGTGCTGTTTTCCATCCCTGTGCTGTTTTCCTTGCATTACATCATCAATCCTCACGTGAATTTCATGAGGCGTAGATATAATTATTATCTACCCCCACCTTTCAAACGGGAGACTTGAAACTCAGGGTTTTCAGCCCAAGTCATATGGCCAGTGGTTTGATGCTTCTTTGGCCGGTACTAGTTGTGATCACAAAAGCAGTGTTGCTTCTCCGTCAGGATGAGCGCTTTGGACTGGGGTGCTCACATGATATACCTAGTGCCTGGCACACATGGACACTCTCATGATTGCTGAAGAAAACACCATTTTTTTCTCTTCTGGGCGGCTTCTTCAGGAGCTTGAGGGAGGCATCTGTTTTTTAGGAGTTCCTGTACTCTACAGTTTCTCAGATTCCTGCTGGGTTTGGTGCTCCATAGCAGAGACACACATTTCCAATGAGCCTTTTGATCTCAAAACATCTGTTTTGGAGACTTGGCCTGTGGCTGGGGAGTGAGATGTGTGGAGTGTGCTAAGCAGAGGTGACTTCTGTTTCCAGCAAGTGCTTGTCATTAACTTGACCGTTGAACCTGTTCTCTCTCTGATCCAAGGCCACTGACCACCTGCCCTTTTCTCCTCCAGGCGAAACCCATTTATGGTGGCTGGCTGCTCCTGGCTCCAGATGGGACCGACTTCGACAACCCAGTGCACCGGTCTCGGGTAAGGGAATCAGAGTGAAGTCCTGGGTGGGAGGGACCGGAGAGGGGCCCAATTAAGGCAGACAGAGTGAAGAGGGACATGGGGGTTGACAGTGGCTCCTGGGATGGCAGAGTCAGCAGAGAATCCCCATTTGGCAAACTCGTAGGTCCCACAGGAAAAGTCTCAGTTACACATGGTTAAACCTGGTGATCCCTTCAGAATGAAAAGCGCTCACATGGTGCCGCCTCTTCCATGGGTCAGCTTGACTCTAGAAATAATGGGTTGTCGGAAAAGTCATGACGTATTTTGTCTTATGTTTTTCAAAGGTCATTTATTTATATAAAGAACAAAGATCAATCAATGGTAACTGCCCGTTTTGTTCGATAACCTTTTGCCGTCTTTCAGTGAGCTTCATAATTTCTCGTTCATAGAAAGCCTGTCTTTATTTGCAAAAAACTGAACAAGGTGCTGATTTACAGCCTCATCAGAATTGAATGTTACACCACGCCAGGAGTTTTGAAGAGAGCGAAACAAGTGGAAGTCTGACGGCGCATGGTCAGACGAGCGTGGTGGGTGTGGCATCACATCCCATCCAAGCTCCAATAATTTTTGATGGGTGATCAAACTTGTATGTGGTCTCGCGTTGTCGCAATGGAGCACAACTCCTTTACAATTAACAAGCTCTGGACGTTCCTGGATGATGGATGGATTCCTTCAAACTGTCCAATAGCCCACAGTACACATTTGAATTGATTGCTTGGTTCCTTGGTAGGAGCTCGGAAAACACAACACCTTTAAAATCCCACCAAACTGAGAGTGTAACCTTCCTCTGATGAATGTCTGCTTTTGATGTCGCTTGAGGCAAATCATCACGTTGGGACCAAGACCGTTTGCACACCACATTGTTGTAAACAATCCACTTCTCATCACCAGTTATCAGTCGTTTCAAAAAAGGATCATTTTTCTCACGTTTAATGAGTATATTGCAGATGTTTATACGCTCCGTCAAATGAACTTTTTTGAGTTCATGCGGAACCCAAGTATCGAACTTGCTTCGATCCCAGCTTCTTCAGGTGGTTGTGAACACTTGAATGATGGATGTTCAATGTTTCTGCAATCTCTCGTGTCGTGTAACGTGGGTTTGACTCGATCAATGCCTTTATTTTGTCATCATCAATCCCAGTGGGCTTCCCTGACCAAGGAGCATCGCTGAGATCAAAATCACCAGCACGGAATTTCATGAATCATCGTTGGCACTGACTTTCTTGTAGAGCATTGTCACCGTAAACTTTATGCAGCTTTTCACAAGCTTGACGTGTTCTTCCCTTTATGGAAGTAAAACAGTAAAATATGGCAAAAATGCACAGTTTGGCCTTACATCTTCAGCTTGTTGTAAAATCTCCAAAATTCAACCAAATCACTCAATTTTTTTTTAGAATGAAGCTAGAACTGTCAGCTGTCAAATGACATAACAATAACATAGATGCGAATGACTATAGTACTTCCAAAAATGAACAAGTGCCATCTGTTGCAAACATGTGTCATGACTTTTCCGACAACCCAATAGTTAAATGGAAAAGGCGAAAGGGCATTTCAGCAAATGTTTGCATTATGCCAGTTAGGCTCCCAGTTCCTTCAGTGCCAGGTCCCTGCCTCTGCAGCTCCTTCCTTCCCCCTTCTTCACATTTCATCTCCTCCCTCCCTCCCCAGCGAGGGGTTCAGCAAATAAGTGCTAGTGAAGCGGTGAGGGCCTTGGGGTCCAACTTTGCTTTTGCTCCTTCTGGCCTAGACACCCCGGCCCAGGGCAGGTCCCTGCTGGTGCAGCCAGATGGTCAAACCAGCTTTGTCCCTGACCAGTGGCTTATTCCTCTACCAGGGAGCTCCTTTGGATTTGACTCCAGTTAAAACTCTTTTCCAGTTGCTGCCGCCTGTACCCCATACATTTTCCAGCTCTGTCCCCTTCTTGTCCTCTGCTCCCCTGGAGAGACTCTGACCTGCCTCTCGGTCTCTGCTCCCCCTGCCCGAATGCTACACTCTTGGGTGAGGGTCCTGGTGTCCCACAGACCTCATTGTGTCTGGGTTCTTTGGAATTCCTTCTACAATGGATTTTGTCTTTAAGGACTACAGATAGGAGCCTTGGAAATGTTTCTCGTGGAGAATTTCCGCCTGAACACCCAGCGTGGAACCAGTGTTCTCCAGGTCTTCTTTGTAATCCCATCTGAGCGTCCTGCTCCTGCCACCCAGGCGGGTACACTGTTCATTCTGGCGCCTGCGGTAACCAGGGAGCAGTTCCCCTTCCGTTTATATTTAGGTCATACAGAATTGCCATTCCCAGCTTCCAATGGGAAAATCGTTACTATAAACGGTATCATTCTGGCCCAAAGCAAAGAGGCATGATGGTTTTGTTAGTTCTTTTGGCCTTATTGCCAATAAAAGTATGAATTTTGTTGGGCTTTCTGAAATGTTGAAGATAGGTCATGGATGCTCATGAGGAAGGCACCCCCCCACCCCGTGGTCCTTTTTACTCCACTGTCAGCGCCATTGGACCCCCTTTGTACCCAGTGCCTGGCCTTCGGTGGAGAGTAGAGGGGGCACTCTGCCAGTCGGAATTCCCTAGACATCAGGCTTGTTCCCACTGACCTCACTCCTGTTCATTTTGATTTTTTTTAAAGCTCACTTCTCAGTGAATACTAGAGCCTGCTGTCTTTCCCCTGTCTCCCATTCCCTGTGGACCATTGGAACAACCTATTACAGCAGTTTCCTAGAGGTATTTCGAGGTGGGGAATCAATGCTTGGCATTCTTAGGTTATTCCATATCATGTCAGATAATTCATCAAATCAATACTGACACATACTATGTGATAAGCTCTGTGCTAGGTGCATGAAGAATACAAAAAGCTAACTAAGACATCTCCACTCCTGAGGAGCCTGCCAATTAAAATAAACCAGCCTTTTGTTAAATCTCAGTAACTCGTGTGCAGACACACTGGTGGTTGGGGCCTCTCCCCTGGTCTAGTCCTGAGTAACAAATCACTGTTTGTCCAGCCTCGGGTCCCGCTTTTCCTGCCATCTGCCCCAGAAATGGAAGCTGTGGAGCTGGTGTTGTTTAGCTACAGGTCTGCCAGACACTGTGGCTTAGCAGGTGGGGATGGGGCCAGAACCCTCCTAAGCCCCACTCTGTGCTCTTTTGCAGAAATGGCAGCGGCGATTCTTCATCCTCTACGAGCACGGCCTCCTGCGTTACGCCCTGGATGAGATGGTGAGTGTCCTCTTCCACTATTCGCCGTCTCCAGCCTTCAGCAGTCTTCTTCCTTGTGACTGCCTCTTCATCGTCTGTGAGCACAGCAGCTGTGTGCTCTCATTTGGGCTTCCATTTGGGAGTCTGGAATTTTTGAAGAACTTGTGGCCACAGATAGAGATGACTCTTAAAACCCAGACCTTTGGTTTGAGGAGTCTTGAGTGTCATGGGTGAGAGTACGTGGTGAGGGGGGAAGTCACTTGTGTTCAAGGCTGATAGCAGTAGGGCTCAGCCAGAGCACTCCTAGTTGGAAGTGGGACAGGCTGTGGGCCAGCTGGGGCAGACAGGAGCCAGCCCTGGGTGTGCGTAGGGAAGGTGAGCACACACGCATGCGTGTGCCATAGTCCCAGGACTGCCCATCGTTCCATTGTTATAATTGGTCCTGCTCATCCCATCAATCTCAGAGGCCTCCTGGTCATGGGTCATTGTTCCCGTGGTCACTAAGCTAGGGCATACAGGCTCCTTCCTGCCCTGCCACCCACCTAGTTCTCTTCCTGCTTCCTGCTTCCTGAGCTGGATGTGTATTTATTGCTCTTCGTCCAGAGGCAAACGTGAAAACCAGGCAGGTAGAATGTTCTGGCTTTTTTTCCCCACCCATTTTGTCTCTTGACTATTTGTCTAAAGGAGATTGCTCTCTCCTATAAAGTATGACTGAATTCCAAGCTTCACAAAGGATTGACATGGAAGATTTGAGCACCTTTTCCTGTTCTACTTGAGTGTGTGAGAGTGTGTGTGTGCATGTTCATTTGGGCAGCTATTATTTGGGACTGTCCTGGAAAATCTAGTGATACGTGTAAAGTAGGTTGACCCCATTTCACCTAGAGTTCATTTCTGGGGGTGAGATCAGGTTCTAGAAACGTGAGCAGAGATGACTGTCTCTCCAGGGACCTCGTTGACTGTGTGGACACCTGGATTTTAGGGTGGTTATTACAGCTCATAGGTGAATAGGCCATAAGTGGGTTTATTTTCACACGTGGGCCCTACTCTCTGTGTTGTGATGCTTTCTGTATTTTGTTTCTGGGATGAATTAATGGGTATGAAATCCAGGTGTGGAATTGATAGGTATGACCCCTAGTTCCATATTGACCATCACTTCATTGGTTCCTTCTTAAAAAGTATTTTCTTCCTTCTCATTCTTCCTGTGAGTGTATTTGTATAGTGTGGATGGGCCACAATGGAGTTTGGCCATGGAAACACCTGTGGTCCAGAGTAGTTTCAGGTGACTGGACTGGAGGTGTCAGTGGGGTGGTGGAGCTCGCTGGAGGTGGGAGCAAGGCAACTGATTCACTTGGATACTGGTCTCCTTGGAAGAAAGGAAGTGGGCCTGAGGCAGGCCCAGTGCTGCCCCTGTGTGTCCTCCTGTCGCGGCTGTCGTGCGAGTAGTAGCCCTGGGGTGGGAGCTGGGCTGCTACGACCCTGAGGTTTATGTTGTCTTCCCTGTGCCTGGCTGACCTGTGCTGACATCCCACAGTCTAAACTAGAGGAGAGCTGCAGAGGGCACAAGATTACATTCAGGCAGGACTGGGCAATGAACCATCCCACAAAACAGAATTCCCTGGACTTGCCTTGGAGACCAATTATTCTGTTCAAGAAATCTAACTGGAGTCCAGCACAATTCATTCTTCCCTTCAGCTCAGTTGCACAAGCACAAAGAGAGTGACTACTGGGGACGCTTTTGTGTCGGCACAAAGGCAGAGCACATGCTTTATCCCAAGAGCCACTCCTGAATAATTGAGACCGTTGAGCCTTGAGGACTGACACCTTCCAGTGCATTTGGGTCTCCCAGCAACCTGGATGCTGGCTGGGTATTATTTCATGTGCTGCTAGGGCAGAGGTGGGGCTGTGCCAGCAATGTGGGAGAAGAAAGAAGCCCCAGGAAAAACTTGAACTGCAGCGAGACCATTGGGGGGATGTCCACTTTCTGGCAGATGACTTTGGAGCTGACTGACTGACTCTGGGAGCCAGGGTCTGCCCTGGCTGATCTGCCCAAACTGTGGGCAGCGCAAATACACTGCACCTCCAGGGAATAAAGCGACATTATTTCTGTGAGTGAAAAAAAAATCAGTGGCAGTTGCTTTGAAATACCTTTAAAGCAATATTTCATACACGTTAGGGTTTTCCCTTAAGAAGGTCCTATGGGGAAAGTTGCAAGGAAGTGTCTGGGTTGCACTTGAGCAGAGGCTGGGTGAAGGGGCCAGTCAGATGTCAGCTGCCCAGTGATCGGCATCAGCGGCCATTGCCTTGGGGATTACAGGTGAACTCCTGCTTCCCAGTAGTTTGCATCTGGCATTGTTCTTCATGGCCACTCACCAGTGAGCCCAGTCCAGAATCCTGGCGTTCCCATCCAGAGGTCAGCTTTCCTGAAGCCTGTACTCTTGCCTGCACCTGGCCAGCCAGGGTCCTGAGACCTGGAGCAGGAAAGCTTTTCAAACATGCTCCTGTGTGGATTGAATTCTAGCCATGTTAGACATTTTCACTTAGAGTATCTAGAGCTGCGGTCCTCAGTTGGAGACCATTGTGCCTCCAAGGCCTGGCAATGTCTGGAGTCATCTTTAATTCTCACAGCTGCGTGGGGTAAAAGGGGTTGCTACTGGCACCTAGTGGCTGGAGGCCAGGGATGCTGCTGGATGTGCCATGGTGCACAGGATAGCCACCCACAAGAGAGTGACCCAGCCCCAAATATCAACAGGGCCAAGACAGAAGCCCTGTGAGATCTGGTCAGTGACCTATCTACATTTTTTAATTAAAATATGTTTGAGTTGCTATCACCCCTGTTCTTAAAAGGTGTGGAAGGACCCAGCCCTCAGATTTCCTGGGAATGAGGGAGGTGATGGGGCAGGGTTAGCCTGCTGGCTGGTGTGGTGCCAGGCAGGTAATAGGGGTGGGCCTGTTTCTAGTGTGGAGGGGTTTCTGTGGAATGTCCCTGCACATCAGGTGACCACAGGGCTAGCAGAACTGTTTGTGCGTGGTTTTGACCCAGGGAGCATGTAGGTACCACTTCTGTGGCATGCTCAGACCATCATGCCTGGATAATGGCCCCATCTTACTGCTGATCTCCAAGAGCAGCAGCTCTGCGCAGCCAGTAGCCTCTACTGACCCTACGGCTCCTGCCAAGCTTAGCCCCAGCATCTCCCAATCCCCCCATTCCAGGCCCCCCTAGCTAATCTACTGCATTTAATAAATTGTAGCATTTTATGGCTGGGCTGTTTCCTTAACACTTGGTCACAGTCTCTTTCAAATTGTTACTTGACTTTTATGCAGTATTACTATTTATTTTCATTTGTTTAAATGCTGTTTACCACCTAGATGATGATTATTATTTTTTCTCCTTGTTGGGCCCCTGATAATTCTTGGTATCCTTCTGCATTGTCTGGCCTGGGGCTTAGATGGCACAGACCTAGTAAATATTTGTCCGAGTTGAACTAACCAACTTTGTGAATGCATTGTTTGCAGTATTTCCGCTTTCAGCTTGAGAAGGTAGGAACCGGGGTGCTTCTGGAACAGGGATTAGGTATGCTGCTGGGTGCTGCTCTTAATGGTTCCTCAGCAGAAGGGAGAGTGCCCTCCAGAGGGCTCCGGAGAACTGAAGGGGGGAAGTTGTCTGGGCCCCCGCGCTGGCAGCCGTTGTGGTGGTTGTCAGGAGTCCCGGGAGGAGGAGGGAGCCCCCAGTCCTTGAGTCGGTGCCTGCCTCACGGGCTATTTCCAGAGGTCTTCCTACCTGGGGTCTCCTGCTGTGTCTGGGCCTTCAGGCCGAGCCCGCTTCCATCCCGGACAGACTGGTGCCTTTCTCTTCCGGGCAGCTCTGAAATAGGACTAACCTCTGGAATCACTTTTCCTTTTTTGGGAAATATTTTTCTTGAAACACCCACATACCCTGTAACTAACTGGTGCATGTGGAGAAGAGGCAGATTTCCCAAAAAAGGGAAAGAAATGTCCCAAATGCAGGCTGAGGTGAAGTGGGCTCAGGGCAGCCTCACAGACAAGTGGGCCTGAGCGGTATGGCTGAACCTCCAGTTTTTCCGCAGTGGATGGAGTGAGCAATCTGGAAACCTGAACTGCTGCCTCTCTCCTCTGCTTTTGTTCCCCCTGTAATCTGCCCATTGCTGTACCAAGTTCTGCCACTTCTTGAGCTTTTGGGGACTGATGGCAGGCTAAGATGCTGGTGTCGTTAGAACCCCAAGGTTGCTATAGAAGGCTTTCTTGGAGGAGCACCAAGTCCAGAGGCAAAGCAGGGCCCCGACTTTTAGAGCTCGCTTGGCGGTAAAGCTTGGGGCTCTTGCTTTTATGTTCTCTTCCTTTTCCTTCTGGAAGCCAGGCAAAAAAGATGGGCTAAGGTTTGTTTATTTGTTTTGTTTTTAATTGTGGCAAACTATATGTAACAAAATTTACCATTTTACTTATTCTGAAGAGTACAGTTTGTGACATTAAGCACATTCACGTTGTGGAAACATCACCCCCATCCATATGTAGCACTCTTTTCATCTTACAGAACTGAAACACTGTCCCCGTTAAACACTAACTCTCCAGCCAGCCCCTCTCCCCTCAGCCCCTGGCGACCCCATTCTACTTTCTATCACTATCATTTTGACTTAAAAAAAAATTGTGGTGTATCTAATGCTCTTGAACCCTGTCTGCTAAAACAAATTGACCCTGGGTCTCTCCCACGTGGAAACTGCAGTGAGATGGTACCCATGCTCCCATGGCAGGTGTGTGGATTTGAGGGCCGCCTTTGGCTGTGTGGGGTCTCTCTCCCTCTGCCTTAAGAGTCCTTGAGAGTCAGGACAAATCAGAGCTTCAGGACTTTGTAGGGGCTGTGCGGCCAAGGACTTTAGCTCAGTTCCCATTCCTAGACACGGTAGCTCTTGGGTATGTGCTTTTCTTCAGGGGGGAGCTGTGGTTTTGTCAGTCCCGTAGGAAGCGAAGGTCCAGGCAGAGAAGTTACTATGGGATGTCTGCGCTCT